CTCTCAACCAAGTGGCCACAGAATCCTGCTCAAAGGAAGTGAGATCCTGTCACCTGTAGGACACTCTTTTCCTTTCATGTGGAGAGTCCTCATGAAAAGGAGAGTCCTCAGACAAGGCCTCATGAGCCCCCGAGTCTGTCTTCCCCTCCCCACTTGCTCCTCTGCATTATGCTGTCTGCTTCACTCTGGTCGGGGCTCACTGGCCTCTCCCAACACACAGGCCCTCCTCTGCCACGGGGCTGGTGCCCTCCTACTTCTCTTTTCACAGAAAGCTCTTTCTGGAGTGACTGACTCTGTTCTTTGGCCTCGTTTCATAGAACCTTCTCAGTGGAAGTGGAAACCCTGTTCAAACCCGACCCTCTCTCCAGCTCTGCCTCCCTAGCTTCCTTACCTCACTCTGTTTCTTTTCCCTCTTCTCACCTGCTCACTCATGCCTGAGAGCTGGCCACCTGCACTCACACACTCATGTGACGGTGAGCAAGCTGTTAACCTCCCTGAGCCTTGGCTCTCTTCTTCTTCTTCTTCTTCTTTTTTTTTTTATATTAGCAGTCATCGCTTTGCAAATATACTAATAAATGATACTTTTGTTATTTTTCTAAATTTATACATTTATCTTCTAAGTGAAATTTAAGATACACCCCACAGAGGTCTTTGGTTCATTGGTATATCCCAAATTAATAGAATAATGTCAATAAATTACAGAATAGTCCATATTTATTGTCTGAGTACATTTTTAGTTATATTTTTATTATCCATTATCATTATATTTTTATATTGCATTATATCATATTATTATATATATGATGTTATGTTATATTGTTATTATCCACTATAAACATGCATAATTTGCAATTTTTATATCTATATTTATGATCTGAAAAATGAATATCATTACATTTTGTTAAATCAGTGTATAAGAAAAGGAAAATCGCCAGGTCAGGGCATTGGGTGGGGTGGGAAGAGGGCTGTGGGAGGTACCGAGGAAACAGTGAGGGGAACTGTAGGATTCTAGGCTCTCCAGGTTTGGTATAGAGTGATGGGAATGAGGATAGTGGGTGGCTGTAATGATTCCCTAGTTGTGGAGCTGGGTTAAGGGGTAAGTCCACCAGGCACAGTGATGCACACCTGTAATCCCTGCAGCTCAGGAGGCTAAGGCAGGAGGATCACAAGTTCAAGGCCAGCCTCAGTAACTTAGTGAAGCTTTGAGCAACTTAGAGAGAACCTGTCTCAAAAAATTAAAAAAAGCGAGGGGTAGGCGCTGGGATGTTGCTCAGTGGTTAAGCACGCCTGGGTTCAATGCCTGGTACCAAACCAAACCAACCAAACAAACAAAACCCTTAGCTACTCAGGAGACTAAGGCAGGAGGATTGCAATTTCAAGGTTAGCCTGGCAATTTATAAAGACTCTGTTTTACAATAAAGTATAAAGGGCTGGGGATGCAGCACAATGGTAGAACATTTTTTGCCTAGCATGTGAAAAGCCCTAGGATTCAATCCCCAGTATTGCAAAAGAAAACCCAAACAAAACTGAACACTGTGGAATTGTATAGCTATTCAACATCTCAGAGCTGAGGTCCCACATCCTTGTCTTGACTTTCCTACCTTATTTCCTCCTCTTCAAGCACCTTCCACCCCTTCTTGTTGTTCTTCAACTTTTAATCTCACATGACACTTTTTAAGGAATTTTCTCTCACCCCCTTCTCCCTCTACCCTTGCCAAAATGAATCATCTCTTCCCATGACTTGGACTTCCATTTATTTAAATTCAATCAATATTTAAATTGCCTTAAAGAAGTTTATAGTTTAGAGTTGGGTGCTGTCCAACAGTGTAGCTCTGTGTAATAACTAAAATCTTAATCAAAATCAAAGTAAATGAAAAATTTTAAAAAAGAATATTTATTTATTTATTTTTGGTACTGTTGATTGATCCCAGGGTGCTTTACCACTGAACTACATCCCCAGCCCTTTTTATTTTTTTATTTTGAGACAGGATCTCCCGAAGTTGCTCAGAGCCTTGCTACATTGCTGAAATTGGTCTCAAACTTGCAATCCTCCTGCCTCAGCCTCTTGAGTCACTGGGGTTACAGGCATGAGCCACTATACTCAGCTGATTCCCAGAGGATTGAAATAGTGTAATAATAGACAGGGGCTGGTTGGCTACTTTAGATTGAGAGTGGAGGAGAAGAAATGTCTAAAGAGGTGACATTTAACCAGGTTCACAAGGCAAAAGGAAAATGCGAAACGGGTGGGCTGAAAGAAGGAGTGAGGCAGAACTTTAGCAGAAAAGCCCTAATGCAGAGATAAATGTGAAAGAAAGTCCAAGTGGCTGGGGTCAGGGGGCAGGGGACAGCATGGTAGAAGAAGATATTTGAGCAATAGGAAGGACCGGATTACTAGGACTTTATAAAAATCTGAGTAAGGAGTTAGGATTTTTTGTTTTCTTCCTGAGAGAACTATGTGAGGGGTTCCATAAGTGGGAGATGACACGGTCTGATTATACATTTACCATTTATCTCACTCTGCCTGACTTCATTAGTTAGTTGCTTACTTACCTGTGTCTCCGACTGATTGTACAATCCTGGATTTTTGCATCCTTAGTATTAAGTCATGCTCCCTTAGCTTTGGTGTAATAGTAATGACTCATAGACTGGGATTAAGCTCTTCAAAAAGTCGGCTCATTTATTATCTTTGAATACGGTAAAACTAGTCATGGACTATTTTGCCTCCCAAATAAACAAGGCAGGATTTCATTCTGAGTGAGCCAATTTCAGCATCGCTTCTCCTCCCTCTGGTGGGCGAGATGGGGTCAGCAGTGTTCTTCATAAAAGGTGGAGAACAGAAAGATGATCAGAAAAGTGAATATCATTACATTTTGTTAAATCAGTGTATAACAAAAGGAAAATAGAAGGATAGCAAGTCCTCAGAAATGTGCTCAATGGGCTGGGGATGTGGCTCAAGCGGTAGCGTGCTCACCTGGCTTGTGTACAGCCCAGGTTTGATCCTCAGCACCACATACAAACAAAGATGTTGTGTCCACCGAGAACTAGAAAATAAATATTAAAAAATTCTCTCTCTCTCTCTCTCTCTCTCTTTAAAAAAAAAAAAAAAGGAATGTGCTCAAGCCTTGGTAGGACTCATCTTGTTGCTCAGTTGAATTAAAGAGCCTGGAGGTTTCCTTTGGAAATCAGGAAGGGGCTGAAGATCATGATTCAATCCCTTCGTTTTCTGGAAGAGAATTTCAAACAATAGTCCATGAAGGCCCCATGAGACATCCTGCAATGTGGGGCTGAGGCAAGCCTGAGGACTCTAAGGGCAGAGAGTAGTATAGCTCTTATGTGGCTATCTGATTTATTTAAAAAAAAAAGTAAAAAAAAAAAACTGAATCTAATGTGGACTCTGAATGTGAAATCTTAATCTTAGTTTTGAATGAAGAAATGAACTTTTATTTATTTATTTTAATACTTGGCTGCCAACAGCTTTTTTATTTTTATTTTAAAAAATATTTAATTGATTTTATTTTTTAAATACATGACAGAATGTATTACAATTCTTTTTACACATATAGAGCACAATTTTTCGTATCTCTGTATATAAAGTATGTTCACACCAACTTATGTCTTCTTACATGTACTTTGGATAATGATGTCCTTCACATTCCACCATCATTGCTAATCCCCTGCCCCCTCCCTTCCCCTCCCACCCCTTTGCCCTATCTAGATTTTCGAGCATGGGAGGAATAGAAGAAATGAACTTTTAAACACTGTCATGGAAAACACCCTGCAGGACAGATGGAGTCTTTGGGCCACTGGTTTGTAGCATCAGGCTTCAGATCTCTCCTAAGGAGAGACTGCAAAGTCAGCTCTTCCCACTCTTGGGCAGTGAGGGACCCAGGACCTCAGTATGCCAAGCCCTTCCATGTCTCCATGAAACCAGTTGTGGGCTGCAAGGAGGCTGGAAGTATAGCACCCCTGTCTCTCTGGAAGGAAGTTACTGAAGCTTTAGCCCGGAAGAGGAGTTAATCAAGTACTAGGCAGGCTTGCTTGTGTTTCTGTGGTTTAATGATTAAGAGTCAAAGTCAGAAGCCAGAAATCTGAAATCCAAGCATATCAACCACCCCAAGCTTGAGCTTCCTCCTCCACAGATGGGGTTAAAATCAGCCGCCTTTGGGGCTTTGTGAGGATTGAATGCTTGTACGTGGGTGCTTGGCACAGGGTCTGCTCCACAGTAGATTCTCAAAAGCTTTAGCTAATGTTATTAGTGCACTGTTTAGGTTAGTTTTCAAAGTTCTACCACAGGTCTTTTTGCTTATCTACCCATTACTTTCTGAGAGACAGGTGTTATTTTATAAGTGAGAAAATCAAGGTTTGGAGTTCAGTTAGCTTTGCTTACCCAGATTTGCGAGTGGCACAACTCAGATCCAAGCTCAGTACTTCTTGAAGTTTTCTCTGGATGGTTTAGTAAGATGTAGCCTGAGTCATAATGTCGGGTTCCAGGAATGGTTAGGCCCAGTGCCTCACATTTTTGTTGATTTCATCGTGCTAGTGGACCATCCTTCAGTGACCACTGATTAAGAACAGCCCTGTGTCCACTAGAGGACAAGGCCATTTCTGCCATTGGAAGGCTGGTCTTTGCTCAAGTTGTGCCATTGAGTCACACTTGATCTCTGCTTTCAGTGTTGCTTTTTTTTACTGCCTCATGTCCCGTGTCAGGATCAGGAGTTAGACTGAGGCTGTATGTGGGGGAAAGAACTAGGAGACCAGAGATTGTTTTGGAGGACAACTTTCCCTATCCATTAGGAATAGGAGCAGAGCCCTCTTGGGAGCTGAAGGAGCCCTGAAGCCATTATAGTGGCCTTCTCTCATCTCCAGCAGAGGAGGCTCACGTGGTTCACAGTCAGGGCAAAAGGAGAAGTTGCATTCTGAGAGTAAGACCTGTTCCGATCCTATCTGGTGGGGGCCACAGTCAACCAGTCTGTTTTCTCATTTTCCATCAGAACATCATAATGCACCCTGAAGTTGTTGTGTTAAGTCTCATACTGCTTCTAACAGGTAAGTGGGCAGGTGGACTGGGGGGTTGGGTGGGTACTTGGTATGGTGAAGGAAGATAGTTGTTCTTTGCAGTTTCTTAGATGGTTATGGGTTATCTGATGAGCAGAACCAGGATGAAAACTTACTCCAAAGAAATTGCTTAACGGCTATCAATTACAAAATTGATTGCTAAGTGAGCAGGACAAGATGCAGAACCATATTTCACATGCTGCCATTTGTGCTTGAACAAAAAGAGGGGCTGTAGATGTATATGCATAGCCAAATGTGTGTAAGAAATAGTAATTACCCTGGGGTGTGGGGGGGCTGGGCAGAGGAGGTGGGGATGGGGTAGAAGGGAGAGTTAGCCTGTCATTACTTCCTTTTTTGACTTTTGGAGTTTTTAAACAATGTTCACTTATTTCATATAAAAATAAATACTTGCCTGTGGCTCATGCCTGTAATCCCATTGATTTGGGAGACAGAGGCAGGAGGATCACACATTCAAGGCCAGCTTCAACAATTTAGGGAGATCCTCAGCAACATGGCTAGCTCCTGTCTCAAAATTAAAACATAAAGAAGACTGAGGATATAGCTCAGTGGGAAAGCACTGCAAGTTCTATTCCCCAAACCATAAACAAATAAAAAAAACCACACAAATAAAATATTTCAATTCAAAGCTTTCTGTACACAGGCCAAAAGTTTTGAATAAACATTTCCTAAATTTTAAAGACTAATCCTGGAGGGTGGGATTATGGGAGAAAGTTCTTTTTTAAAATTATATACTTCTATAAACTAATTATGACATCATGTGCTATATTTGTAAAAATCATTAGGCAAAATCAAGAGAGTTTCAGGGCTGGGTTGTAGCTCAGTGGTAGACTGCTTGCCTAGTATGTGTGAGACACTGGGTTTTATTCTCAGCATGGCATATGAATACATAAAAAACTAAAGGTTCATCAACAACTAAAAAAAAATTCAGTGAGAAATATACTCTTATTTTATATAATAATGATCATTTTTTTTTTCTCTCAGAAAATTTCCTACTCACAGCCTGGTCCTGCATGTTAGTTAGTAAATCTCAAATTAGTTCTCATTTAAATATTTTCCAATTCTGTGGCTGCCTTGTGTTAGTAAGCCTTGCTTAGTTGCTGGGCTGTCATCAACTGATGACAAGATCCCTGCTTACAAGCCTTTTGGATTGATCCTAACACTCATGTAAAACTCAGCAGCACCTGGAAATATTGTAAACCCATTTTCCAAAAATCAATTTCTGAAGAGTCTATTAGACTTCAGCCCTCAAGCCAACAATGTTTCAAATAAACATCAGTCCTGCTTTTGTGTAGAAGTGGAGTAGTGAGGAGGTGATTTCATCTGCAATAACAGTTTTCAAAGGCCATGAAAATTAAAATATTGAAATTTAAGTTCAATAGAATTAATTCTTTTTTTTTTTTTAAATGTATTTCAATGGATACAAGAACTTTCTTGGAAGAAAGAACTGAGGCACTAGAGTGGGAAGGAGACTTTTCTCTAGGCGTCAATATCCTTGGTGTTATTTTCATTTTTAAAAGCCACAAGTTTACATTGCCTATTTAAAAATCAATAATATGCAGGTACCTGGTGAACACAGGGTAAAATACATACATGCAATACTTGAGTATCATTTGGTTAAAACCTTTTGAAACCAATTTGGCCATCTTCACCAAAAGATGAAAATATTCCTTCCCTTTATCCTGGTCATTTCTCTCTTAGAAATTTATGCCCCCAGGGAACTTAAATTCAGTAAAAGTTTAATGGAAAGATTTTGTCATGTTACTTACAATGGTAATAATGAGGAAGAGCTTGAAAATCATCCAGTGCAAATAAGTTGTATTGTCTACAAATATATGCATTAAACAAAACATTTATTTGAAGAATATGCTAAAAACTGTTTATAGTATCAAAATTTCAAAATCAATCTATAAAGCCATGCCTACAAAACAAACTGTAAAAAGAAACATGAGAATAAATAAATCAAAAAGTGAAAAAAATATTTCAGGAAAATATCAAGGCCTCATTCTCAGTTTCTGCTCCCTGTGTTTCAGATGCTGTGGTTTCTTATACTCAAGTGAGTGGAGTGGTGGGTCATCCGGTCATTATTCCCTGTAGCTACTCAGTGGCCAGTGGAGTCACATCCATGTGCTGGGGCCAAGGGGCATGTCCTACATCTAAATGCTCAAATGAACTCATCTGGACTGATGGATCTCAAGTCACCTTCCGGAAACACAGGCGTTATAAGCTGGAGGGGAACCTTTTGCAAGGGAATGTGTCTTTGACCATAGAGAATGCAGCTAAGACTGATAGTGGCCTGTATTGTTGTCGAATTGAGCATAGCGGGTGGTTTAATGATATGAAACTCACCTTATCCTTGGAGATTAAACCAGGTAAGCTTGTTTTGTTTCCTTTGATCTTTTCCTGGAAGTTAACTGAGTTTTTTGTTTGGTAATAATTTCTGTTTTCCTTTAATAGGGAAATAGAAGGTTCATATAATCCTGTTTGCTGACAAATATTTGCTCTTGAGAAACAGAATAACTTATTTGCGTAGATGAAGTCCTTCGACCAACCTTGATTCAAGGCCAAAGGCTAGAATGAGCAGACAACCCCCTAAAGCCTCCTTCAGACATGCTTGCTCGCATTATTCTTCCATAGTGAAACGTAATGAATAGTTTTATCAAGCTGAATCTATTCAACTTTAAAAACTGTCCCTTTTTTCCCCTGAAATATTGTCTTAGAAGAATGTTAAAATGTTAATTCTTCACATTTTAAAACCACTAAGGATTTCAAAGCTCAAAAATGAGTAATGTAAGGTACTGCTGTGTAGACATACAACATCTGGTTTTAACAGCTGTCAACTCAATCTTATTGAACATTTACATATATATAAATTTTTATAGATATGAAATTATTTATATAATTTATATATAAACAGCTATATATAAATTGCTATAATACTTTAAATATAAATTATTTACATATGACATTTATATGTATGGAAAACATATGTATATACACACATATAAATATTGTTTAGGCGTATAATTCTAACACTTTCCTTGCCCTACCTTGGATATCATATCATATCACAAAACCCCCCTTTAAAAATTAAAATGACCTTATATGAAAGCTTTTGCCACCCAATGCCCATTAACCAGTTGCTCATAAGAAGTTCATGAAATCCAAAACTCTGGGAACATTATATTTTTCTTCTTTTCTCACTATTTGATGAAAGGAGTAGATTCTTGAGGATTTCCTTGTTTCTGGTGTTGTTTCCTAATGAATCTCCTTCTACTAAGGTCTTATTTTGACACTCGAATCTAATACCTGTGGCCTCAATAAACTGTCTCTCTTGCTCTCATTTTATTTTATTTATTGAGGCATTTGAGATTGAACCCAGGTCCCTGCACATGCTAGGCAAGCGCTCTGCCACTGATCTACAGCCTCAAAGCCCTCCCTGCCCTGCCTTTGTTTTAAATTAAGGGGAACTTTATTTTGCAATCCCTCAGCTTTGGAACTTGGTTTGTTTGTCTTATAGAGGCAAGCAAGATGTGGTCAATTCTATTGGAATAAATAGCTGACTCTGGAGAAACTATGCCTGGGAGGCAATTTAAGGAAGCCAAAAGAAGCTGGTGATACAGTGTGCTGTAGGAAGATGTGGAGAGGCAGCTTGCGGAGAAGAAATAATAGGGTTATGATTGCGACCTTCTTGAGGTTGTGAAATTATTGGCCTGGCTGAATTTTAAAAAAAAAACAGCATAGAATAAAATTAGCAGGAGGCTTTTATAGTGTTTAGAAATTCTTTAATAGGTAGATGTTTACAATAATGTTTGGTTCAGTCAGAACATGAGTCCATAACTGAGCCAAAGTGACAATCTCTAATAGCCAATTCTTTGCTTAAGTGTTTTTGTGCTTTTAAAATTCTAAGCTTCCTCTTTAACTCTCCAAGGGCTTCTCACCAGCTCTTTCTACCCTTGTAGTTTCCCAGTTTCTTACTGAGAAATATACCCTAAGCAAGAAAAGTTCATGAGTTGATTAGAGTTTCTGCTCCCCATCCTTTGATCCGCTTTTTGCATGTATTCTTTTTTTTTTCCCTCAGAGATTAGATTTTAAACTGTGAAGGGATGGAAAGTGGATGGTGTTCAAGCCTACAGCTCTGCTTTAGGTTAAATCAGCAAACCATAGCTCCAGGGCCAAACCGGATTATATAATTGGCCCACCAACTGTTTTTATAAATAAAGTTTTATTGGAACAGCCACACACATTCATTTATACAATGTCAGTGGTGGCTTGCAAATTGATAGGGTTGAGTAGTTGCTACTGAAACCATGTATTTTAGATTCCCAAACCTAAAACATTTACTATGTGGTCCCTTATAGGAAAAGTTTGCTGACTTCAATTTCTAAATAATGGGTTGAGCATCCCTAATCCAAAATGCCGAAATCTGAAAGTTTTAACATAGTCATGATACTACCTACAAGTGGAAAATTCTGCAGTATGAAACTTTATTTTATGCACAGCATTAATGAAAGCATTATGGAAACTTACCTTCAGGCAATATGTATAAAATGTATATGAAACATAAATGGTTTTATATGTAAATTTGTGTCTCATTCCTAAAATATCTAATTGTGTATATGCACATATTCTGAAATTTAAAAAAAATCTAAATTCTGAAATACGTCTCAAACAATTTGGATAAGGGATACTCAACCCGTATCTCTTAGATGGGAAGCAACCTTAGAAAGTCTGGTTCACCTTGTAACCAGATATACAATTCCTTTCTTTCTTTCTTTCTTTTTTTAAAGAGAGAGGGGAGAGAGAGAGACTTTTCAATATTTATTTTCTAGTTCTCGGCGGACACAACATTCTTGTTGGTATGTGGTGCTGAGGATCGAACCCGGGCCGCACGCATGCCAGGCGAGCGCGCTACCGCTTGAGCCACATCCCCAGCCCAGATATACAATTCCTTTCTACAAGTCGTGGCAGGTGTTTTAGCATAGCAGATGAGTGTGATTTAGCCCTGAGTTAAGATGCAAGCCCTTGGGGCATCTACGCTCAGGATGGACAGAATGGACCACTATTTGATAAACACAGTGGGCTTGAGAACTACTGTTTAAGTCACTTATCACCAAGAGGGCAAGGAATGTACATACCAGGAGCTGCCACATAGGCACCAAGTGTCCCTTAGACTTGAGCGATGAGAATGTAGATGTGGCAAGCCAGCCATAGGCTGTGTGTGAATTATGAGCACTGAGTGCATGGGATGGACTGAGCCAACGTTGCCCCTCTCTTTGGATAAGGAATGTAAGCATCTTTCTGTTGCTCTGCCTATGATCCCCACACAGCACATGAGATGGGCGTGACCTTCCTAGATGTCAGTCAGCCTGCTGATAGCAAGGCATCATGAAGCTAGCCTTAACTCTGACCCCTTGCCTCATTTGAATGGCTTCTCCCCAACAAAGGGTTCAGCACGTTCTCCTCGCTCTTTTTCTTGCCTGCCTTTCCTCCTTTGTGGGAGCTGGGTCAGAGGAGCCATCGCAGAACCCAAAGGAAAAGGTATTTCTCTGTCTCTATGTGATTATTTTATGTCAGCCCATGTTCCCCCTGGAGTGTCCCTGACTGGTTTATTCATGTGTCCCAACAGGTACAGGCTCTAGACACCTTCCCTGTCTCACAGAGTCATTTATAAGGATGCATAATGAATGATATGCATGACTGGTCTTTTAAAAATTGCTTCATTGTAAATGTGAAATATCTGTCCTTACCTCCCCAATCTTTTCAATGCTGCTGCTTCCTTTTGGCTTATGGCAAAGAACAAGCACTCAGGACAGAGAATTCTGCTTAGAGACCATCTCCCATTTGTGTGCAAGGGGACTGTTTTTGAATGGGTTGCTTGCTTTCCTACTGTTTGATTAATCATTGTTTTCATGTTGATTTCTAACTCCAGCCACAGACACAAGTGTTCCTATGACACCTAGGGTCTATACCTCTGCTTCTTCAACGCCAGCACACACACAGAACCACAAACCAGGTAAAACAGATGAGGTTTGGAACCCTAGGCATTCTAACGAGAGGCTACAGGCCACACTTTGCATTGTGTCACAACAGAAGTACAATCGAGGGTGAGGGTTCTTAACTGGGCTCCCAACCTGGGCTTCCTTTGGTTTGTGATCCTACCCTCTTCTCAGGTTACCTGAATGTTGGGTATGTATAAGCATTTATGTTGGGTATGTATAAGCATTTGAAAAGTGAGGGAAGTCATTGCTTTTTATAAAATTCTAAAATGATTCGGAGCACTGAATCAAAAAAATTATTTGGAGCACTGATCCAACCTACCCAATGGGGATGGTGTGGATCTGGTTTAGCTGGGTATCCATTTACGATGAAAACATGGGGAATTCCAGAGGCCAAGAGTTATACTCTTTGGATTCAGAACTCATTTCGTCCATTCTGAAGTTGGGCCCTGCAGTTGAGAATAATATTTCAACCAAGTTGATGTTTTCTGTTTCCTGTTCGCCAGGCACTGTGCTGCATGCTTTGCAATGTTCTGTCATTCATTTCTCAGGAAGGTTATATCTATTATATAACCCTGTCTTATAGTTATGGGAGCTGAGATACAGAATTAAAAAGTTCTTGGTTGAGTGGAGTGTGGTGGTGCAGGTCTGTAATCCCGGTGGTGCAGGTCTGTAATCCCGGTGGCTCTGGAGACCGAGGCAGGAGGATCCAGAGTTCAAGGCCAGACTCAGCAAAAGCAAGGCGCTAAGAAACTCAGTGAGACCCTATCTCTAAATAAAATACAAAATAAGGCTGGGGATGTGGCTCACCCCTGAGTTCAATTCCCAGTATCCGCCCCCCACAAAAATGTTCATGATTGAAAATCATAAAGATAGAAAGTAGTTGAGTTAGGGTTCAATCTATATTCATTTGAATTTGGGGCTGGTACTTTTAACAGCTGGATGGTGCCTTCTATCAGGAACACTGAGCTTTATGTTTGAGTGAATTTTCTGGTTTTGACATTCTAAATGATAATGGCTTTATAAAGTTACCCTGTCTTTTGGGGGGCAGTCAGTGTCTTACACTGCTTTGCTTCAATGACCCTTTAATTTATTGATATAGTGTGGAAATCACAAAAGTGCTACTTATTTAATAAATGAGCATTATTTTTAAGGACCTCAGGGATGTCATGCTCTCAATTCATGTCACATTGTCCATACTTCAAATTCAACACAGATAAGTTTAGATTGAATACAAAGTAGAAAATGATTTACAGGAGAGGGAAATGTGTCCCACAGACACATTTAAGCTCAAGTCTTCTATTTCCAGGATTAAAAAGATAACCTTTAGAAGAGATTCTCAAATCCCCCTGAAGCACTTTGACCCCTTAAGGTGACTCTGGATTCTGAGGAGTAACCTAAGTGTCACAGCCTCTTAGTGAGAGCAATCTGATGGAACATCTTGATTTCCCTGGACTCCCATTAAACTACATATCTAACCAAGAGGGATCTGAAGGATTGGGCTATGAGCTGAGGTTGGAAGAGAGGACGTTAGGTTATAACTGGCATTTTTGAGCCATAAAAATTTGTAAGAAAAGTAGGGTTTTTTTGCAGGCAATTGAACACACTGGAGAATCTCTTGGACTTTCTCAATATTGATTTAACTTTGAAATACATAGTTTGTGCTTGCTAAGGTGGGTAGATTTGTGGACTTGGTTTGGAAAACATGGAAAAGTTACTGGCTTCATTTAAAGCTCCATGAACCTCCTGGGGTGTGGTATTAGTAGAGTCTTAATCTTATCCTGATAGTTTCCTAAAGAGTTTGGGTTCAATGTTGATCTTCACAGTCCAGGAGGGAGGTGAGCACCCTAGCTAATCTTAACGCAGGGACACTTTGTTTTACATCTGTGTCTCTCGGTGCATAAGCTAGTTGCCTAAAATATTCATGGAAGAACTGAAAATAAGGTTGTAAGAGAAATGAAAACTGCCACAAAGACCCAAACTTGGAGGAAAAAATTAAACTCAGGAGATTTCTTGCACAGAATTAAATTGGGTTAAGAATGGCCATCTGATTCTCTTGTGCTGTTCTGGTTAATTTAGTCCCTAAAGAGCCAAATACTCTTAGAGGTTTGGGCATTAGAAACAAACAAGAAAACAGGTCAGAACATGAGAAAGGGAATGTCGAAACATAAAATTTTCAAGACTGCATTGGGGAAGCCAATGCAGAAGACCACTGAGCGGCAGGTAGGAAAGCCCAGGGTCAGGAATTCTCCGTCAGCCACTACCACTAATTGGCTCCAAGATTCTGTGGTGTTCTAAGGGAGTCACGTAAACGTCTTATAAAGAGCTAGGTGACCAAGCCTGCATATCAGGTGAGCTGTTTAATAGGGAAGAAAGGAAAGATTTCAGAAAAGGAAAAGGAAATAGCTTTGATTTAGAGAGTTCCCAGTATCAGCTTTCTGGTGAGACATGAATGATAGATGCTTGCATAGCATTCACAACGCCTTGGGTTCAATAAAGTTCTGACGAGAAATGGAAGATGAGTCAGATAACACAGGAAATCACTCTTAACAAAGGAATGGTTAGAATGCAAGTGCAGAAGGAGAGGGGATCAGGGTCTATCTGAAACTCTGCTTTTAGGGTTGCAAATCATTAGCTAGGCCAAGATATTTTGCAACCTTGTCATCTTGAAGAGACCTCAGTAAATTAAATTTTGTACCTGTTAGTCAATATGTGCATCTGTCCAGAAAAATGTGTGGACAATCTGGTACTTAAATAGGGTCAAGAAATCCAGAGTGACATCATAGTGAAGAGACTTGGGCAAGTTAGTGGAAATTCCCAGGCCCTGTTCCCTGAAAGTGAAATGTCACTCATATTAATAAAATGAAACTTAACTGGGTATCCTGTGTAAGATGTGCTGTTGTAGACTCTTTATTTAAAGGAAGTATAACTGACTAGAAGAATAGAAAGGGAAATAATTCTGTCTCTTGTTCAAACTATCTAGAATTTTATTTAGATGATTTTTTAAAATAGTTTTTGTCTTGTTTTTAGTTGTAGGTGGACACAATACCTTTATTTGTTTATTTTTATGTGGTGCTGAGTATCAAACCCAGTGCCTCACATGTCCTAGGCAAGCAATCTACCACTGAGCTACAGCCCTGGCTCTGGGTCACGTTCTTGTCATTATAATAAAGTGACTAGATAGCAGTGCAAAGCCTGAAGGCCATCTTTGAGTAAATCTCTAAGAGGAGTTAGAATGGCTGGAAGTGGGTAGGTGGGAGCCATTTTTCCTGAGGAAAGCTAGGTGAGGGAACTGTGGGAAGTTGGTGGTAATTTCTAATTTCAGTTTTGTTGTTTTTGTTTTTACTTTTGTTCGGGGGTGCAAATTTCCCTCCACAAATGGAACATGGTGCTTCTGTTGTTTTCGTTCTAGTAGCTACTTTACCTACTACAACTCAGGCTGCAGAGACCCAGACTAAGACCCTGCAGGAAACAAGGACATCCTCTGCCAGCTTACCACTCTACTATTGCCCAACAGGTAAGTACATTCTCTCCCCTGAACTCCTGGGAGTATCCGAATCTTGATAACCATTGACAGGGAGAGCACTCACTCTGGAGTAAGACAGTTCTGACATGAGGGCTGAGGAGGGCCACTCTCTCTGAATCTGTTTTATTACATGTGAATGGATGTAAGGCTGCTGATCTCATAGAATCCTTAGGAAGATTAAATGAGATGAAGGGCCTGGGACATGGTTACACAGGGGTTAAGTGATAGATACAATGGCAGCTACTACTATTACTGGGGACATCCTGAATCCATAAGACCAGTACAGGCAACACGTATGATTTGGAAATATCTACATACATATGACTCAATTTTCCTAAGTCAAATCATCCAATCTCATTACTGGGCTTGACTCCAATCTCATTCCTGGGCTTGATCTCTTGGGTCAGGGCCTTAAAAACAATTAAATCCAAGCCCCCTGGTGTCTATACCAAAATGTCCATCCATGTTGTTTCCTCCAAGTTTCCTCCTAAGTACCACCTGGGGGATCCTAGCTACCTTGGCAAACTTGTATTTACATGGGCATTCAGAGGTGGTGCTGCGGTCTACATGTTTATGTCCCCCCACAAATTTAAATATGGATATCTAATCCTCACTGCAATAGCATTTAGAGGTGGGGCATCTGGGAGGTGACTAGGGCCCTGCCCTCATGAATGAGATTGGTTCCTTTATCAAGAAGCCCGAGGGTGCTAATTTACCCTTTCTTCACTTGGGGACTCACAAAAGACACTGTCTCTGAGGAAGTGATGAACTTCATCCTGCATTTCCTGGCCTTTAAAACTGTGACCTGTTTATTTCTTTTGTCAACTAACGTGTCTGGGGCATTTTGTTATGGCAGCCCAAATGGACCAAAACAGCACCAAGGATGTATGTCATGCTGAGATCCTGCTTCTCTCTCTGAACATTCTGCCCTATTGCCCAGAGCCTGGGCAGGCCCCATAAAATCTCCACTCTCTAGAAATATGGAGTCAATCTGTCTTTTCTTGATGAGGAAAGGTGACACAGAAGCCTGTCATCTTTCTCAGCTAATGCTCTTTGTTACCCACAGTGCTCAAGTGTAGAGCACATGGCATTCAGAACCTCTTTGTGATTCAGAGCTGGCTTAGGTGTCCTTGTACCTGTGCTGTAACCAAACAAGGTCAAGCTTTGCGGGACTCCACTTGTGTGTGTGTGTGACTCATTCTACTCAGTGGTTGCAATCTGTGGGCCCTCACCCCCTTAAGGCCTCCCTTTTGCCAAGTATTCCTGGAAACTGGTTAATTTAAAATGGACCTGCCGTGAAATTCACACAGGGACACATTCAGTAGGGATTAGATAATGGTGACATTTGGTTTGGAAAGTGGAGTCCTTAGTGGAAACTATTTCCAGGCACAAAAACAAAATGAAAATAGATAGAAACACAAGGTAACAGCAGTGGGAGCAGCTGCACCCCATCTTTGAGTATGTGGGGAGAAAAAAGGTAGGAATGGGGAATCATTCTCTAAAATATCATGTCACCAAAACCTGGTCAAGGTAGAGTCTTCCAGAATGAAACAGACACCTGAACAGCTGTGTCCCCAGGATTTGTGTGACTGCCAAGTCCTCACTGTGTCCATGTCAACCCTCAGCCGATTAAACCTCCACAGAAGCAAAGAATGTTAGGTCTGGAAGGGATTTAGGTTGTCATATGGCCAGCCACCCACCTTCAAAAGATGTGTGCCAGGAAGCTTACGCATTATCTCATTGAATTGTTTCAAAGCAGAATAGGGAGACTTATAGTTCTGCTTTGGAGACACACAGTTCCCAGTTCAGCCACCAGTTACTAGCTGCATGCCCACAGCCATTCCTCACTGGATGACAACAGCAAAGGATGTGGGGGCATTGCATGGTCTCACCTCCACCCTTTGCTCCATTGTCCTACAACAATGGTGATGATGATGATGATAAAACAGATATTTTCCAACATAGTGTTAAGTACTTTACATGCATCATCTAATTTAGTTATACCAAATTAAATATATACTTTTAATAGCTTATAGTTTAAATGGATGCTGGCTAGAAACATCTGTATATTTGTGTACATATACACACACGGGCATTTATATATAGATTTACACACACATGCATATGCATACATGTATATGTGCCTATGTGTGTTTGCAAAGGGCTCTGATTATCAAGGTCACATTGCTAATGAACATTGTATGCATTGAATAAACACTTTTATCTAATTCAAGTTCATGATATTTTTACTACTTCACCCAGGTCTATTCTGAAGGTGATAATAAGTCACAGAGCCTAGACTCTAGATCTGTCTAAACTAGATATTGCCTTTGATTCTGTGTAAACATAGTAATGTAAATATTTGGTGGAGGGGAAGGATTCATCTGATTTTATTCCTGCTGGGGCTGTGTATTCTTAGGGAATTGCATAGACCTCAGTGTTTGCCTTTGGTGAGAGTGCAACGTGTGGGGTGCTCACTAAGCAGAGGCTCATGTCATTTGCTAAAGCTGGAAGCATGTTTCACCAGTCCATCTGTTACAGCACCCATAGAATAGGACTAAAGAACTGGTTAGGATGTGAAGTGCTTAGTATATGGTAGATACTCAGGAGAAACACTTCTGTATTTGACCTATAGATGCCAACAAAGGACAAAATGATTTATTCTCTTATAAACTAAATGTTCCAAAAACACTTGGAAAATTTGAATGCTCAAAACATCAGAGTCAATATATCTTATCATACAAAATCCCATCCCTTAAATAGTAGATTGTGCATTGGTCTTGTGGCTAATAATAGCAAATATTTTCTAATACATTGGCATATAACTTGAGAATTGCATGCATCTTGTTTTACACATCATGATATATTTTTTTAGTTGTAGATGAACACAATACCTTTATTTCATTTATTTGTTTTTATGTGGTGCTGGGGCTAACCCAGTACTTCACACATGTGAGGCAAGCACACTACCACTGAGCTACAACCCCAGCCTCTAAAGTGCATTCTGAATAGGGCTGTTCTAGCCTAAGGTGCACAGGTGGCCTCTGGGTGCTCATCTGCAGTTTCTTAGCAGCATGCAAATATTGATTATCTTCAAGTGTGATCTAGTCTGGTTGCATGAATGAACTTTTCTGATTCCTATGAAATTGTAAAACTTTGTGTTCATATATTTCTCCCCATAATAAAAGGAGTCCAGGGCTGGGGTTATGGTTCAGTGGTAGAGTGTTTGCCTTGCATGTGTGGGGCACTGGGTTTGATCCTCAGCACCACATAAATAAAAATAAAATAAAGGTATTGTGTCCATCTACAACAACAACAACAAAAATTTTAAAAGAGGATTCCATTGTCAAAGAGTCCATGATAGAAAGGTTAGGAACCATGACCTCATAGGATAAGGTTTTAAAATGTTAATAGCTTGGCCGGACTCTTGGGAGGCCAGCAGCATTTGGTGGTATAATTATTCAACTTTCCATTCATTGCCAGAAGGCAGTGCGAATATATATATAGTTTCTTCATTGAAAAGCCAATATTTTTTGTAATTCTAATTAATTTTTCCTTCTTGTTAAACAGATGGGAACAGCACCATGACACAGTCTTCAGATGGCCTTTGGCAAAACAATGAGACTGTAAGCATATTCCTCCCTGTTTTATTAGTCAGGCTCACTTGTCTGTCTTCCTGGAAGCAAAGTTGCATCTAAAGACTAGTTCTGTAAGAGTAGCCATAGGTTGATTTTTCTCTCCTTAAAAAAAGTTGGAGAGAAGGAAGAAAAGAATTGGAATCTTAAATAGGATGCTTTAAGTTGATTAGTTCATTGAGGTGTGTCAGTTTGTTAGGTGATATTTTACTAAATAACGCACATGCATGCACACATACACATACCACTCAAACTTAGCTGTGGTCAAAAATTAAGACAAAAATCAATGAACTAATTCAAGGAAAGCATGTTCACATACCATGAAGGGTTTTATTTGGAATGGAATGGAGCAGAGGCCCTCCCAAACAGAAACACAAAGTAAGCAAGAGTCCTGCCCAAGGACAGACCCACTAATGTCCTTTTCCCACACAGGGTCCATTCTATGTGGAAATTCTTAAGCCCCTATGAATTTTTTTCTGCACATATCCCTTCTCATATGATGATTCATTTAAGGTATTAAGGTCTTAATTTTGATCCTGTAGGGTATTCTCATACTTTTTCTGCAGTGAACACAAGAAAAATCAGAGGAGCCCTAGTCTCATGATACTTATCGTTTTTTTTTTTTTTTTGTCTTTCCAAAGAAGTTAGACAAACTTATCAATCAGGTCTTTTCTTTTGCCTCCTGAAACAGCCTTTGTTTTAGTACGGTGCAAGTAGTTCAGAGGCAACAAATAAAGAGTCTGAGGGCAGAGAACAGTCCTTCTGATAGTGAATTGTGAGAAAGGACACACACAGTCATTGAAAGAGAACTTCAAAAAGCTCTGGCAGGGTGGAATTGTTTATTGTGGGACCAAATGATCTCATGCTGTATACCTTAGTGACAATAAGACTACGCAGCAGCTTGGAAGGCCGAGGCAAGAGGATTGCAAGTTCAAAGCCAGCCTCAGCAAAAAGCGAGGTGCTAAAACTCAGTGAGACCCTGTCTCTAAATAAAATACAAAATAGATCTGGGGATGTGGCTCAGTGGTTGAGTGTCCCTGAGTTCAATCCCCAGTATGCCCTGCCAAAAAAAAAAAAAAAGACTACATAGGAGTGATATTTTAGAAATTATACCACACAGGCCCTGATTGGTCTGATGAAGGTAGATAGAATCTGTAGGTATTGGAGAGATATCAGAACTACCATTATATGAATTTTTGTTGTGTTGCTAAATGATCAGACTTATAGCTATGTTAAAGAATAAAACACTGAATGATGAGTGATCTTAGTTATTGCAGAACGGGTATATATAGCAGCAAGTAGAAGCAATTTAGAAGCATGTTCAAGATGTTCAAGATCAACAGTAGCAAAAATGTGAATTTTTTTGTGCTTTGAATAAACATGTCAAGATATAGATATCTAGCATACAGATTCATACAGATTCTATCTATATTCATCAGACTGATCAGTGCCTGTGTTGTGTAAGATAACTTTTATATATAAATATAATTATATATGTAATTTAGTAATTGTTCCTGTTCAGAAAAGACCCTGGAGAGACAAAACTTGAAAAGAATCCATAAAGCAAACTGGTAATAGTACTTGTTTCTCCATATTAGATATTGGTTGAGTTTAGTTTTCTTTTTTATGCTTAGCTGAGTATTCTAAAACAAACATGCAATATTTATGTCATATAATCAAAAAACGTAATGAAAGCAAAACCTGCTTCCTTGACCTCCATTCTCCAACTGCCTATCCCTTTTTCTCCTCATAATAGCATATTCTTTCCCTCCCATATATTTTCTAGGTCTCTTCTAAGCCATGATGACCCAGTTACTTTCCTCTATATTCTTTATAGGGTTCACCAAGAAATACCTAATAGCACCTTACCCAAGAACCCTATTAAATATGCAAAAAGCAAAAATTCCACTAAAATGTAAGCTCCATGAGACTTACAGAGATTTATGACAAAAAGATCTTTTATAAGTAAATAGTAACAGCTGCGAACTTACTATAAACTATTAAATATGCAAATAGAGGTTCAGAGAGACTAAATAACTTGTCCACAGAAACTAAGTAGAAGAGTAGGGATTCTACTTCAGAGGTTAACCTCTTACACGGGAAAACACTTGATCTGTTACTCTGATCCTTCACTTTCATTATCCAATGGACTCTCCTTGGAATTAGAGATAAACTATCATGCCTAATATGATACCTGGCATGTTTCAGGGTTCTTTCAGGATTAACATCCCCTTATGATCTGCACTAGGAGATTTAAACACAATTCTACAATTCCTACCCGATTCCACCTGATTACTAAAGTGTTGCTCAGGGTCATGTTTGTGAGCAGGGCTACTTTCCAAGTCTTTATCATAACACAGAATCTTGAATTACATTTAAAAAAATACAGACTACAGTAAAAGATCAAATTAAAAAATCAAGCACATCGTATAACATCAGATCAAGTCAACTTATATATGAACAAAACTGTTTATTTTCTTTCTTATATCATAGGACCATGCATTTATGGAAATAGCCTATTGACTTTTGAAACATACATAATTTGCATACATTATACACAAACCTGCTTTAAGCAAACAGTTTGAATGTTGACAAAGATTTCTGTTGTCCTAAAGCACATTTTGAATTTCAGGTCATCACAGAATTTCACTGAGATTCTTTGGTCTTGTTCTCAATTTCTAGAAGTAGTCTGGGGCCAATGGATGGGGGGTGGGAAGCATATGCAAACAACTGCCTTCTAATCATCGTTCTCAGGGGGACTCTTTCAGTCTGCTGCTGTTTCCTTAGCAGGTCTTCCCAGCACAAAGCCCAGGGATGACCAATGGCGGACTCTACGTCGGAATCACAATTTCCACCTTGGTGTTGCTTGCTGTTTTGATTGTCATAATTATCAAAAGTAAGTCATTTCCAGGTTGTTCCCAATGACTAGAGCAAGGGTTCTACAGACACTGTCTGCACTTAAGTGACTCCATGGGGCATGTGATTGGAATCACATGACTTCCCTGAGTCCCCAAATGCTCATCTGTAAAACACACGTGCCTCTTCCTCACGGTTGTGCTGGGAATGATTTCTGGCATATGGTAAGTCCATGGCTGTTACTATTTACTTAGAAAAGATCTTTTTTTTTTTTTTGCCATAAATCTCTGTAAATCTCATGGAGCTTACATTTTAGTGGAAGTTTTGCTTCATATCATTGTTTCTTAACTTTGTTCTTTGTTTTTAAATTATTGGTTCCCTGAAGAGAAAAATTCAATATCAGTTCTCCATAAAAGAAATTAAATACTAAGAAATAAGAGTTGCCAGGTGTGGTGGTGTACGCCTGTAATCCCAATGGCTGGGGAGGCTGAAACAGAAGGATTGAAAATTTGAGGCCAGCCTCAGCAACCTAGCAAGCCCGATGCAACTTAGTGAGACCCTATCTCAAAATAAAATAAGTAAATAAAAAGGGCTGGGGATGTTGCTAAGTGGTTAAGCGTCCCTGGGTTAAATCCCCAGTACTAAAAAAGAAGAAAGAAAGAAAGAAAAAAACAAAACAGAAATAAGAATTTGCTGCATAGATTTGATATTTGGAGGTGACAGGCCATTGTAACACACACAGTGTCCTCTCTCCTCCCTTCAAGATCTGTTTTTTGACCCCGTGGGGTGATATTGTTGATGACACCAGAATACTTATTTAGTACATGAAGCATGGAGGGGGAACTATTTGCAGAATAGGATTAGAACAAAGGTCTTCAAGAAGCAGTCACCCAGGGCTTCATGCCCCTTTTGTGAGGTGTGTGTGTGTGTGTGTATGTGTGTGTGTGTGTGTGTGTGTGTCTGCTGTGTTTCTCTCAGTGTAACCTGCCCCTCATGAAAGAATCTCAGTCATCTATTTTGTACAACATTATCCATGAACTCATTACCAATCTACTCCATGGGTCTGGGCAGAAAACTGATTTTACTTGTTAAATTTAAGGAAATTTCTACCTGATAATTTAGAACTTGGTTAGTCAAAATGATTGTTTGGAAATTAAGTAAATTACCTTAAATATATTCCCCTCTTTAACAAAAACAATTACTTAATCTCTCTTAAGGAGATGGATTACTGGGGAGTATAAAATTTGATAAAAGTCTCTGATAAGAGTTGACGGGATCTTATGTCCTGGGTAGCCTGGGACAAACCTGGTTTATGCCTGTTTTCTAGTATCTTATTAAAAAAGTCAGGTTTTTTCAGGTTTTTAAATTAAAAATTTAAAAATTTTTTTTGGTACTGAGGACTGAACCCAGAGGTGCTTAAGCACTGAGCCACATCCCCAGCCTTTTCCATTTTTTATTTTGGTAGAGGGTCTTGCTAAGTTGCTAAGGACCTCATTAAGTTTCTGAGGCTGGCTTGGAACTTGTGGTCCCTCTGACTCAGTCTCCTGAGCCAGGTGTACACCATCATGCCTGGCTCATTTTTTAAAATGAAAGATAATTTGGTAATTCCATTATAGCAAGTCAGGATATGTGGGTGAACATCCCAGACATTACTGAAGATGAGACACTGAGCAATAAAGAGTGTGCCTGGGTCCTGTAGACTCCAGTGGGGACACAGGAAGGAATCGCTGAAGTCACGGGGGAAGGGCTCAAATCACAACAAAACAATAGACTTGATTGCAAGAAGATATCATGGACTCTTTTACTAATATGTTCAACCCATCTTCCTCCCCTATTTAGAGTATTTCTTCTCCAGAAAGAAGATGCAGCCACTAAGGTAAGCTTGAAAGGTTTGGGGTAGATATCTTTTGATGTCCTTACTGGAGTGAAAAATAAAGAGAAATTCCTCTCCACTCTTCTAAACTACCCATTCAACAACTTGGATCCTGAAATTCTAGTTTAGTGAGCACCTCTGGCGTTACCCATACCTTGCAGTGACATTTTTGGCTTTCTGTATTTCCGTACAGTTGTGGCAGAACCTGTACAGAAGTGGGCACCTCAATCCTACTCTCTTAGGTGAAAAGAAATGAATTACTTGACAGAGCTGTATATTGAAGGAGTTGTGTTGATTCACTCTTACACTTTATTCAACCTTTTCTTTTATTGAGCATTGATTGAGCACCTATTATATTACAAGTTGATGAACAAAACAGAGAAAAATAGAAAATAAATAAACACGGCCCTTTTCATGCCTGCAGACAAACACCAAGGATAACAGAGCAGGGAGATGAATTTTTGATTGAGCCCAAGGGAGCAGATGATTTGGAGGAGGATAATTCCTGGCTGAAGGGGCAGGATGGGTAAAGGCTGTGACCACAGCTCCCCCCACATGCAGCCTGCTCCTCTCCTTTACCCCTGAGGGCACCGGAGTTTACTCTATTTGTGAAGCTCTTTCTGTCTGTCCTCCCTGCTGCCCAGTTAAAGCTTAGATCCCCTCTAGTGCATCTGTGGCGGGCAGTCCCCTGCCCCCAGTGAAGCCAACTAGCCTGCTTCATTCCCTTCAGCATGGCTCTGAGCAAGGACATTCTTTGACTCAGTATCCATGCCTCTTGGGCTGCCCTCCATTATTCCTAGTTCTCCTTCATCGGAGGCTTACGCAGACTCACCCGTGTCTGAGTTAATGACATGGCAATCCTCAGACCGTGCCTTGGACAGGGTCCAGCACATTGCGATTGCCCAGGACAGGCTGGCTTTTATTATTTCAATCATGCCCTTCACCGCCATAAACCTATGAGGTAGGCAGTATTATTAGCCTCATTTTACAGATTAGAAAAACAGGTTCAGAAATATGGAGGGACATCCAAGGTCACACTGCACAGTACATAAAGTACTCAATCTCAGGGACCCAGGCTCATAAATAGTTTTCACCAACTGCTTTAAAAAAGGAAAAGGAAATGCTTCTTATTGGTGAAAAGTCATGGAACATTGTATCCTTTTAGCTATTTGTTTTCTATTCTTAAGAATATTCTCCAGTTATCTTTTTTTAAGAGGTTCACTTTTTGCATTAAATCATAAAGAAAAAACATTATATAAAATGTTAAATATAAAAAAGTACACATTTTAATGTGAGATTTCTCATGACATTTTCTTTTTGGTGTTTCTATCACACTGACTCATTTGAGCTTATTGACACCTAAACTGTTTTTCATAGATCTGTAACTAAGCCATTTTAAGGACCATAGAGAGGTTTTATCTCATTTTTTAAAAATAAATTTAATTTTTTTGCAGTGTTGGGGATGAAACCCAGGGTCTTGCACATGCTAGGTGAGCCCTCTACCACTGAGCTATACCCCATGCCTTCTCATGTTGCTTTAAATATATCAATGGGGGCTTGTTCTTCATCTGGGGATGAATGAAGACTCAGGTTCCACATTTTCAGTAGTAGAAACTGTCACTGTATACAGATTACAAAACGCCAGCCACATCAAACCCCTAACGGGTGTTAAATCTGTTTCTTTCCTGGTTTGTACCTCCTTGATTCCTATGAGACTCAAACATCCATCCACTGTGGGTACCCCACATAGCAGGAGGTATAGAGTAGACTCTCCAAGTAGTCATACTAAAGCATCTCCTGGCACTCAAGTGAAAGGCAGGCACACGAAACACCAGCAGTTCTCTCCAAAAAATTACAGCCTTCCTCTCCATTGTCTGCCCTTTTGTGCACTTGGTGTGTGTGAGCATAGGCATGATAAAAGCAATCAACCCCTGATTTTGAAATTTTATTATCAATCACAGTAAGGTTTTCTGACACCATGATCTGGTACACATTAGTAAAACAGTACTATTCCATTACATCCAAGACTTTTCTATATCTCCAGGGTATAGATCACTAAGCAGTTAAATAGCCTTTTACAGAAGGTCACAATCCGCAGTTACAAACACACCAGTCAACCAGTTCTTAGCCACATTAAAAAAGTATGCATCTTTATTTAGTAACTCAGTTCCATGTCAGATATCTGTCTTTTTACCTTTCCCATTTTTGTATTCTATTATATGATACCCTGAAGGACACCAGTATATATTTTTTAAATAGTTCTTAGGTTGTTTATATACTCTCCTGTAACTTAATCTTCAGGGCAACACTTTCTCATTTCCAGAAGGTACAATTCGTTTTATAGTTTTTGTGAACGGGGCTCTTAGATTCTCAAATATCCAATCTTGCTGGATCATAAATACAAGTGCTGCTCCTTCCTTAGAAGTGATCTTCTTTTTCCTTACTCATGTTATTCTTCAATGCTTTCTGCAGCATGGCTTCATTGACTGGTCCTCAAATTGGAGTCCTGCAAAGTGAAGCAAATGCACGAGCCCGAGCAGAAGACAACGTGTACATCATTGAGGATAATCTTTATGTCATGGAATAAGACCCAGGGGCACTCTTGGGGTTTTAAGTCCATGACTGCAGAAGGTAGTGACCGGATATCACCATGTCTGCCTCCTTTTAAACTCCAGGATCACTTTTCTCCATCATTTCACCTGGCATTCCAACATGTCAGCCACATCAGATAGAGTGACTCTCTAGCTCAAAGCTCTGTACAAACTCATTAACAGCATTCTAATTTTTATACTAAAACTAGCTCAGTTTTTCCAGGCATTGTAGAACATTCTTTCACCCATGAACAATTTAGAATTCTGTATTTTCTTTAGACACCCCCCATCATTCTTGTATCCATTAAAAAATTGATTAGTGATACAGGAAGGGAAATTTGTCCAAAACTGTCAGGAAAAAAAAAAAAAGAGGAACATTTTTTTAAGAATCAAAAAAAAAATTCAACTGAAGACTTCCTTTGGAAGCCTTTCATGATTACCTCTTATTGTTATATTGTAACTCCAAATGGTACCTTTCTTATGTTTCCTAAGTTCAATTCTTGAGGGACTGCAGGTTTTTATTTCCCCCATGGGGACATAGAAATGGCTGTAATTTCACTACCTTAGGAATATATGTTTTCTCCTGGCTCTGAAAATGTGATGAATGAATGGACTGATCTGTGGATCAGGATGGATATTTTAGCCACGAAGACCTGCAGTAGGAAGTGTGGACCAAGTAGACTCCAGGGGAAGAAAACCATTTACCTTGGGGTTCCGTACATTTATGTTACTTCTACTTGCACTTGTGCCATGGTGCTAGGCAAATTTTTTCCCTCCCTGCCTCCCTCTCTTATTTGTTTCCTTCCTTCCTTCCTTCCTTCCTTCCTTCCTTCCTTCCTTCCTTCCTTCCTTCCTTCCTTCTTTCGTTTATTTCTGGTATTCAGATTGAACCCTGGGGTGCTTTGTCACTGAGCCACACCCCTAGCTATTTTTATTTTATTTTTTTACTTTGAGACAGGGTCTTGCTGAATTGCTCAGGTCTAAGTTGTTGGGGCTGGCCTTGAACTTGTGATCCTCCTGCCTCAGCCTCCTCAGTCGCTGGGATTATAGGCCTGTGCCACTGCTCCCAGCTGATGCTAGGCATTTTTGTAGACAACCAACAGGCTCTCTGAACTAATTTTCAGAATGAGGAGGGTCAGAAATGAAGGGGAAAAATGAGGTAGTAGGAAAAAGGACTGTCTGCCTTCTCTATTGCAAGTCTAATAATGCTTAAAATTATCATTAGTGTCTTCTAAAATTCTATATTTCTAAATGATTTCCAGACCATTTTCATATTTAAAGTTATTTCAGAAAGCTGAAAGTTGAAGGGTCTTTTTCCTCTCTAATTAATTATAAGACCTTTTTTTCTTTTTCTTTCTTGTTTTGGTAATTCCAAGACACTTTGGTTTTGCCAAGAGTTAAAGAGAGGTGTATTGTAAGGAATCTTCAGTCTTCAGTCACTCATGTGATTATTTAGAAATGTAAATGTGCAAGGGTGGTATTGTCAGAAAAAAAATTTCCACATAAACACTTAATAGGGTTGGGTATTAATTTCAACTTCAATTTGAGTGAACCCTGAAATCATGGCTGGGGTTCAGAGCTACTCATGCCATAGTGGTCTGGGAGCGTGCTGTCAAAGACCACATTTTCACACTGTTCTGCAGAGTTCTAGGAAATCACGAGGTCTTCTGAGTGAGGGTTCTGTGGGCAAATGAGATCTGTATACATTCTATTCTGGGTTTGCCAGATGGAGCCAGCCTGGTAAAGTCTAAAAATGTATTATGTTCCAACTAGAGTGTTTTCTTTTCTTTCTTGCTTCAGATTCTTTTTCTTGAATCTGAAGCAACATGCATTAATTTGTGGCTTTGAAATCAGAATCTAGATTTGTAGTATCATTGGGAAAGCTTGTCAAGTAGACAGTACTCTTTTGGTTTTGTTTATTTTTCTTTGTTTGCACATGCTGGGGATGGAACCCAGGGCCTCCAGTCTGGGCTGCATGCTTAAGTGGTCCAGGGGTCCCTTAGCTGGGGCTCTACCCTCAGGGTGCTGCTCTCTGGCCCACTCACTTTTGATTCTTGCCTGTTTTCTGTAGGGCTTTGAGTTTATGATGTCTGCTCTAGTCTCCACATTGTTCCTGGAGATTTATTATCCATGCTAAAAGATCTGGGAATCTAGTGTACTGTTTAATCTTGCATTTCCAAAACTTGTTTGAACACACAAGCTCAGTATCTAGTAGAATTGCGTGAAACAAATTACATGGGAAGTGAGTGGAAGCCCATCAGTACACAGGATTAAGAATAAGATTTGATTTCTAATCTTTTTATCAGTGACACTAGATGACATTAGGATAACTTGTTCTTTATGCTCAGCTTTTTCACCTATTTGGTATAATCTTCTCCATACCTAACTTGGTGTTTAGTGGTAATTCTAATGTAATGTTACTTGTAAGAAATCTTTGAAGCTGGGTGTGGTTGTGCATGCCTGTAATCCCATTATCTTGGGAGGCTGAGGCAGGAAGACCTTGAGTTCAAAGCTAGCCTCATCAATTTATCGAGGACTTAAGCAACTCAGTGAGACCCTGTTTCTAATAAAATATAAAAAAGGGTTGGGAATATGGCTCAGTGGGTTAACTGCCCTTGGGTTCAATCCCCAGTAGCAAAAAGGGTGGGGGGGAATCTTTGAAAAGGCAAAAACACTAAAGAATGCATAATTCTCCTAGAAGATTTTGTAGTAATAGCAGGGCTAGCATGCATGCTTGGTAATTATAATATATTACATCCATAAATCTCTTGCTCTGTGATATCTCTTTAAAAAACAATGTTTCTTTTTGAAACAGTTAATGTTGAATAGTTTAATTATTACCTTATACTACAGAAAAAATTGTCAATAACTGGGATGGAGATGGTAACAAAGAAGAAAGGGGAGAAATTTCATTATTATAACTTTTTTCTGTAAATATATCAACCTTATAGATCATCTTGAATTTTGTTTTTATCCTTCAAGATACAATTGAGGTTCCATTACCTATAATCCGTCCTGAAGGAAGAGGATGTGGCTATGATTAAGACTGTGTATTCAAACTTAGGAACATTTGCACATCTTTAAGAAATAGCATAACCGTTCATTCACTGATAGCTGTAAAGATGGGGTGATTCTGTGAGCACATGAAAGCGGGGGACTCCTCGTGGTTGTATGTGCATTTGTTAATAAATAAGATTTGTTTGCTCTTTTTGAAAACTGGCTTGTCATTTTCTCAGACTCATCTTTCAGGTTGGGCCAGGAATCTTCACCTTGCTGGGACATGACCAAAGTGTCAAAATTTGGCACCGGGTGCTGTTCTGGAGATATAACAGAGACCATTCTGGAACTCTAGTTCTTATGAAGTTGAGATTGAGCAGGGAAGAAACATAAAATCCACCATTCCTATTAATCATTAGTGCTAAGGCAAAAGAAAAAATTGTGATAGAGACTGGCTTCTTAATGGCATTTGGGGTCAGAAATCTTTGTTGCAGGGGTGTCCTGTATGTTGTGAAATGTTTACCATCATCCCTTAGCTACCCATTTAGATGCTAGTCACACCTTCTGGTTGTGACAACTGGAAATGTCTCCTGAGGGGCAACACCAGCCCAGATGGAAACTGCCATGACACAAGGCATCTGGTGGGGTTGGGGTGGGGTGAGGTGGGGATGGGGGGTTGGGGCACTCGATGCACTATTAGCCCCATCAGACTGCCTTGAGGAAAGAAGTGACATTTGAGGTGAAACCAAAACAAGGTGTGGGCAGCACAGTCACATGAACATCTGCTGGAAGGAATCTACCAAGTGAAAAGGGCCTGGGTCAGGAAGAAGCTTATGTAATATGAGAGGGGAAGCCGTGTTCCAAGAACCAAAATACAAGTAATGGCTGTAGCAAAGCCATAGAATAGAGAGAAAATAAGAGAAAGTGAAGCTGGAAATATGGGCAGGCTGTTCCACCAGGGGCTGGATGAAAGCGGGGCCCATGAACACATCTGTTTGAGCAGAATCTTGGAAAACAAATCACTTCAGCATACTGAAGGTTAAACCTGCTATACCTAAGAAGAGTCAGTGACTCTGTTCTAAGTTCAGGGTTAGCCCTCTGAGAAAAAAAACCAGCATGGTTAGGGTGTAAGAGGGGGCGGGTAGGACAAGGGCAGAGAGGAAGGATACATTTTGCAGCCACAGGCTTCCCATGGGGCTGAGTGATGGCCCTAGGCCCAAGAAAAGGGGTCCTGGAAAAAGAAGGGTTAGCAAAGTTTGTCCCTCATTGCACTGGACCTAGCAGCAGCTGAGTAAACTTCCCAAACTTGCAACTTTTTTAAAAAAAATTTGTTCTTCCTAGATATACATGACAATAGAGTATATTTTGATATATTATACATACATAGAATAAGTATGACTTGTTCCAATTAGGATCCCATTATTTTGGTTGTGTATAACATGGAGTTACACTGCTCATGTATTCACATATTAGGATAGGAAGGTTATGTCCGATTCATTTTACTGTCTTTCCTATTCCCATCCCTCCTCCCTTCCGTTCATTCCCTTTTGTCGAATCCAATGAATTTCTGTTCTTCCCCTCACTGATTGTGGGTTAGCATCCATATATCAGAACATTCTGCCTTTGGTTTTGGGGATTGGCTTATTTCACTTAGCATGATAGTGTCCAGTTCCATCTATTTACTGGCAAATGCCATAATTTCACTTTTCTTTATGGCTGAGTCCTATACTGTTGTGTGTATATGCCACATTAAAAAAAAATCCATTTGTAGGGCACCTAGGTTGGTTTCATAGATTGGCCATTGTGAATTTTGTTACTATAAACATTGATGTGGCTTCAGCACTGTAGTATGCTGATTTTAGGTCCTTTGGGTATAAAACCAAGGAGTGAGATAACTGGGTCAAATGGCGATTCCATTCCAAGTATTTTAAGGAATCTCCATACTGTTTTTCAGAGTGATTGTGCCAATTTGCAGTAATATATAAGTCTACCTTTTCCCTCACATCCTCACCAACATTTATTGTTACTTGTATTGTTGATAATTGCCATTCTGACAATTGATTTAAATTTCTCTAATTGCTAGTGATGTTGAACATTTTTTCATATTTTTTTGACCATTTGTTCTTCTTCCTCCGTGAAGTGTCTGTTCAGTTCCTTAGCCCATTTATTGATTGGGTTATTATTTTTATTTTTTGGTGTTAAGTTTTTTGAGTTCTTT